CAGTGCGCTGAGATGACAACCATTCGTGCCATGAAGTTTGGTACGACTGATGTCGGAGATGGAGAACTAAAACCGTCTCAGATACTAGCTTTTGTCAAAGCCCAGAGACTGTATGATGAGAAGAAAGAGTGACACGCAATACATCTGTAAGGTCGAGGTCATTAACCCCCTCCCATACATTCTACATCTGTCAAATTTGACATGTAAGAAATGAATGACTAAAAAACAGGCTTATTGTCCAGTTTCAAAGCTGCTTCTCGTCTTCGAACAAAGAATATACCTAGTCTTAGAAGCAAAAATACATTATGACAGTTATTGCCATTTTTTGCCGTTTGATATATATTGTCATTTTCAATACCTTGAATGAAATGGCTTTAATCAAAGTTTGCATTAGTTTTAATGGACAAGTAATGTAGGTATCTAATGTACTGTATTAATACATCCGCAAGGTTATAGTAATTTAACGCCGTTACAGAAAAAAATTGACACAAAAATAAAGTTTAATAGATTAAACAACCTTTTGTGTGACGCACTTGGCATTAACAATGCTAATTCGATAAATCAAAGTGTACGTGTAGCAGAAATGGTGTTGAACTTTTAACCCTTAGTTAGCATAGCGTTTTTTCTATATAAATGATCATATCATTGAATAAATGCTAAATAAGCCATTATATACTTTATATGTAATTAGATATAGTACCACAGATCATGTCCGCACCTCATCTTAGATTTTTTATTAATTTTATTAATTGATTTTGGTTTTGACGTTGTTGTTATAGTCTCTAGGTACAACGACTACAAGGAAGATTTCGACAGACGACATCCAAAAAATGACAGACACAACTTTCTATATAGGCCAGTCGCCAAGTATTAAAAAATAGCTTATGGCTGGAGCAAATCCGGACAAGCTAGAATAAATTTTATTTTGTTTAGTTTAGTGTTAAATTTGCACCACCCCCAAAGCCCGGTTTGGCCGCCATCTTGGAAAAAGTGGTTAAAATTCGGTTTATTTTTCATTATTTGTCAATAACTCGATTTCTATCAACTTTAGTGCAAAAAATGTACAGACCAAAATTAAAGAAGAGGAAAAACTCTATAAAAAACGTTCTATACGACCCGTTTCCAAGTTATCTCGGTTTATCACCGGAACTTTATTTTGATGAAAAAATGATGGCAACAGTGTCTCAGGAAAAATTGACGAACGAGGGCTTCCGAGTCAAGCAGGCTGATGAAGATGCTGATGAACACATTAATTGTCAACACTGCAATTGAAGAATCAAATCACAATAAAACGGTAATTATAGTCGGCGAAGACACCGATTTACTTGTAATTCTTACCGCCTTAGGTCTCGGTCAAATATTTATTTTCTAAAGCCAAGCAAGGGGAAGTCGCAAAATAGAGGTATGCACCCCATAATATGAATCTAGATGCTTCAATGGACAACATTTTATTTCTCCCCGCATTTAGTGGCTGCGACACCACATCCGCATTATACAGACAAGGAAAAATGAAATTCGTTAAAGTTTGACAGAAAGAAAAAGAATTATTACAGACAGCTGCACAAACTTTCAAAGACCCAAACGCATCCGCAGAAGATATAGAAAAAGCTGGAGAACGATTTCTTCTTCATCTATATGGATCCAAACAATGCGACTCATTAGATAAGTACAGATACCAGTGTTTCGTAAAATCTATTACCAAAAGCTTACCAAACCTAGCATCATTACCACCGACCAAAGACGCAGCACGCTTGCACTCCTTCGGTACATACAGTCAGGTACAGCTATGGTATGGGAATGAAAAATCACCTCTGGATTGGGTATGGAAAAATTCAAAGAATGGGTTGATGCTACTTCCCAAGATGCAGCTCCCCAAGAATTATTAAATCTAATTGCATGTAAATATGCCAAAGTTGTAATACATCTTGTAGTTGCCGCAAAGCAGGTTTGCGTTGCTCGGTAATGTGTGCACTTTGTCAAGGCAAATCATGTTCGAATAGTTTGGAAGTGGCAAAATTAGACGAATATGAGTACGAGGACAATTTTCCTCTCGATAAAGATCAACGAAAAATATTCTTCACCTTATGAACCAGAATATGATACAGATGTAGAAGACATTCAGAAAGATTATATTGAACAGCCAGTAACATCAAAAAAGGAAGGAACTCAGATGAACCTTCCACCTCAAAAGAAACATAAGTTGACGATATATGGATTAGGCCTATTGGAAATGGGGAGACCACTCAAAAATAAACGCGCCGGCCCCAAGGCAGCTCCCTGAGAGATAAGGCGGTTAAACTTGATTTTCCACCAGTCGCGCAACAATAAAAATTTAGTCCGTTATTGCGATCATAATGCAACCAGTAGCAAACAAGTTTTTAGGCTTTATATCTCGGGGGTGGCGCTCAAGCTGGTGTGGAAACAAGTACAGTTAACACCGGATATATTGAACACGTACATTATATGAAACTAATTTTGTTTTCGTAAAATTCGATACTTTGGATAGTCGCACGAAAAAAAAACGATACAACGTTTTTATAGAGTTTTTCCTCTTCTTTAATTTTGGTCTCTACATATTTTGCACTAAAGTTGATAGAAATCGAGTTATTGACAAATAATGAAAAATAAACCGAATTTTAGCCAATTTTTCCAAGATGGCGGCCAAATCCGGGCTTTACGGGGAGTGCCAATTTAATACGTGCTTCTCGACACCAAACTAAACAAAATAAAACTTATTCCAGCTTGTCCGGATTTGCTCCCGCCATCGATGCACTTGCCGACTGGCCTAATAGATAAATGAAATAAATTTTGATTGGAAAGACCGTCAAAATATATAATTGTTTTGGGTCGCGACCGTTGTACGCGATCTGGCACTGCTATAGCGGTTGCTTAAAACAACTGCCAAACAATAACAGAAATAATTTTCTCTTGTCTTCAAAAATTATAAAATCTTTCAAAATTTAAACCGCCCTCATTGAAAAAAATACCGAAAAGTGTTTAAAGCGTCCATTCTCAAAGTAATTATTGCTATATTGTTAGTTTAACGTGATAATTGTGAAAAAGTAGCATTAAAAACTAAAAAACTGTGTTGTGAACTGTGAACTGCAAAAACCATCGTGGATCGCGGCATAACATCGATGTCCAATGTTTCATAGGTATTTCACATACATATCCTTATATAAAATAAAGTTTCTTATATGCAACACACTGTATTTTAATTAATAAATTTAAAAGAAAATAATAAATTTGAATAAATAATATTTGGCGACATCATTCCGGAAAAAGCCGAACCGATCCGAAATTATCAAAAGCTTTGGGTCGCGAGCGTTGCAAGAATAGCGCCAAATAGTGTTTACATTGTCCTTATGGGCACTTTCCAATCTAAACTTGTTTCATTTATCTATGCAATTGTCGCCGTCAGGAATCATCCAGTTGGACAGACTAGAGATGGGTAGATCCGATATTTTAAAAGAGTCGGCTCAAGAGTTACATCAATCTTCATGGATCTAGATCCAGGTTCCAGTTCTGGCGGATCTATATTAATAAACCTTTAATTTTAATTAAAGTAAATTTTGTTTTGCATGAAGCAATCCGCATTCAAAAGTTTTGTAGTCCGTTAGAGAAATCTGTCAAATCCTTATCACCTGATCTTAGTTGTTATATTTATTTGGTAGAGGTACGAGGTACCTGAAGGTTCAAATTTGTGACTATGTGGCAAAGCAAGCATTACGAACTAATAAAAGATACTCATGCTCGAGACACAATTACAGTCTTGTACACTGCCACATAAGAATTGCTTCATGCTAGAAGCACAAAAATCGGAATTTAACAGATAATATTTTTAAGAAATAAAATAGCATTTTTTATAAAAAAATATAAAACTAAATTTGATATCGTAACATATACCATAATTTCTTGAATTAGCCAATAAAGTAACAACACTAGGCACAAGAAGTTCTACGAAAGTTACACAGAAATCATACAAGGGGAACGTATAAACAAACACTTCTACAAGTTGACTATGAAAAATACATTTTTACTTTTAGTATTGTGCCAGTAAGTGTCAATATTGGATAAATCCCTCAGTTCCCCTTAGTTAAGGAACATCCTGTATATAAGTCTAAGAGCTCAGCTGTTGTAACCTTGTTTACGTATAAATATAGTACCTAGAAACATTTTCATTTTCTATCAAAACCATGTAAAGCTACGGCATTGAACAGCCAAATCAATTACAAATCATTATTATTCTTTACGCAGAAGTCTAATGATTGTACGATATAATAAATAATTCTTCAGAGAACATACGCGTTTGGAATACTAGGGCAAACCAATAAAAATCTTGACCTAGTACAGGTAACTACTCTTTGAATAAATAACAATATACGAAGTGAAATGAAACTGTTATGTCGAACTTCTATTGTTTTGTTATGTCGCAGACTAACCTAACTTTGTCGTTATATCAATCTTTACCTCGTTAGTTATTAAATAGATATGGTCTGTCAAAAGAGTTGGTGAAGATTTCGACAGGTGACTTCGAAAAATTGACAAAAAATACAATTTACTTCTGAAGTAAAATGACACTCACATTGATGAATTCTTTGTAGTAGAGTCCCCAAATTTGGACAGCTTCTACCAGAGGGGCAAAGATTGAACGAGTCGTACCCTAATGGTAGACAATGACACTTTCAAACAACAGATAAAATTCATTATTATACTAATTAAAAATATACTCGCCTAATGACATGAAAATTTTTAAAATAGCTTATATTTTTCTACACACATTGTCTTACAAACGCAAAAAAACGGCAACACTGTATGCCGCTTTTTATTTTGTCTCTCTGTCAACCGGTCATTTATATTATTCTCTGTCACACGCATTAAAATCCAGACCACATAGTTTCGATGACCAGCAGGGTATACATTAATTTGTTTTGACATAACATATACAACAAAATTTTAAAAACTCGTTTATTATTTATTAAACGTTCCGTATCTTGCAGAAGTGGTACGGCAAGTGGGCAAATCCTCATCAATGGCAAGCAAAGAAACGTGAAAAAATTCAGGAATCTCTCGAGGTATATAATGCAAGAAGACGTGGTCCAACCCATGCTGACAGTAGGCGAAGCCATGATGGTAGCTGCCAATTTAAAATTGGGCAAGCGAATAACACAAACAGAGAAAGAAAAAACCGTAAGTTGGCACTATAAATAATCACACATAGTACAGTGTGTCCTATTGTAGTGTGTTTCACGTAGAATTCAATAGTGTAACTTGTTTTTCGCTGGAAGTTGTCATTGTTGAAATATGGCCCAAATTTATGTCTTTTAAACGGGACACCCTGAATACTATTATTTTCTTTTATTTACCTTTTTATGAGCTTTAAAGTTATAATATACTCTATACTTATTCTCATAAAGAAGGTAAAAAAGTGCGTTATTTAACTTTTTTAACATAGGCGGCCGGTTTAAATTAGAACATCAAAACAATCGAATAACTTATTCGACGTCACATTTTGTTTTTTTTTAATTTATATATAATAATTTTGGTAAATAAAATAAAAATAATATTCAGGGTGTCACATTTAAAAAAAAACATAAATTTGAGAAGTATAGCATTAATATTGCAAATTATATTTTATACCTTCATAGTAAATGTCTGTTTAAATGTTTGGTTATGTAATGGGCAGTTTGTTTACTCATCAAATCGGTGTGATATAGCTGGGAACAGTGGCGAATAGAGAGGGGGGCCCATGGGGCGCGTCCCCCCCCCCTAAAATCTGTAAATTGTGTTAAATATTAGGCTTTTTTGTTATGTTTATATTAAATGGCGCCCTAAAAAGCATAATATTCTACATTACTTTTTATTTTGGGCCCCCCCTAAAATAAATTCCTGTATCCGCACCTGGCTGGGAAGCTGTAAAATGTTGTTCCTGTAGAGTTGTAATGACTGTGATTACACCCAATACTGCGCAATAATGCCCTCTTGTTCGTGTTGCAATTTTTTGCGGCAATCTTTATCATTCGACATTATCACAACACAATGCGTCGCTCAGTTCTTTTTCACTTAATTTTCACTACTCGAAAGAGAGTTACATCACAAAACTTTAATACATGAGAATGTTATAGTTTCAATAACTACACAGTATAAACCAAAATACTTATATATTATGACAAAACCACGATTTCAATATTATTTTAAGGTGATCAGCATGAACTGAAACCGGCACGGCGTGAAATACAGAGCCGAACTTCTGGTTTCTGCCGTATCGAGGCGCTGCGGTCGGAATTTTTAAAATCAACTGAAATGCACCAAGCCTATATAATCTTTCCGATGACAAGATCCTTGACAGTGATAGATCTGTCTGTCATTTTAATTTCAAAGTAGTTTATTTTATTTTAGAAAGAAATAAGTCGGTACAATTGGAACGCATAGCAGAAAATTAATATATTTAAAATTTGAGTGACAAGTGATTACTTCAAAATATTGTGAAAAAAACAGTATGTGTTAATACAAAACAAAAAAGAACAAAACACTACATACCAAAAAATTTAAAAAGAACTATTTCTTTCAAGAAATAGTTCTTTTTTAAATAGCTAGAAAGAACTACTTAGAAAAAGAACCAGTACCTTTTGACATTATTTTTCTGCAATACTAAAATCCATTATTTACCTATCGTGTGATGTCGTTATTTACAGCTACTCCAGTTTTTAGTATGTTTAGTACGATCCTTTCACCATATATACGAGATGCACTTATCTATGACGAGATGGTATACAAATTATTTGTATACTTTATTGGCGTATAAGACTTTCCGCCTGAGCACCGAGTAACTCTAATTGTGCTCTGGGTCTACAGTTAATTTTCCCTCGCTTGTCTTCAAAAGACACAAAACACACGTAATAATACGAATCAAAATGCATCATCTTCCAAAACGCAGGGTATTTGACATAAGTTGACACAAAATTAAAACCTATAATTTGGCATTTGGCAAAACTTTGACACGCTTCAAAAATCTAAAGGCGAATTTATACGCATCGGCGTCCATTTGTCGTTCATCGTTCCGTCAAACCAATAAAATTGAAATATGATCTCTCATTTTTGGAATAAACCAATAAAACTGGTTAAATACAACAAGAGACGACGCATGACGGATTTATATTTAAACTCATCCATAGTTAACTTAAAAAATATTAGAAACTTTTTTTAGTAAAATAAATAGATTGGTATGGACGTCATCTGCTTTTCTTCTGTCATCGTCTGTCGAAATCTTACCTGAGAAAAAAAACAGAGTTATACACTAACAAAGTTACATGAAATTTTATTTCACTGTTTAATTGACGTGGTTTTGATATTCGCAATAAAAAAAAATATTCGCGACATCATTAATTTGTAAGAAAATTCGTTACTACCTGGTTTAGAATTTCGAAAGTTTCACTAAAATTAACATCGATTTTCATTTACCAACCGTCTTTGACGCCGTTTTTTTTTATCGTATGATACATTACATCTGGATTTAGAAACATGAAATATTAATTTTCGACGTGATCGATCATCGGGAAATTTGTCAGTGAAATTAGTAAAAAAATCTATCATCATTAATGTTGTAAGAAAATTCGTTACTACCTGGTCTAGAATTTCGAAAGTTTCCCCTCGCTAAAATTATCATCGATTTTCATTTACCGGCCTTTTTGATGCCGTTTTTTTTCATCGTATGATACATTACATCTGGATTTAGAAACATGAAATATTCATTTTTGACGTGATCGATCATCGGGAAATTTGTCAGTGAAATTAGTAAAAAAGCTATTAAAATAATATAAATTCGAAAAATAGGGCTATTATACATGAAATTGGCGTGCTGGTGTCTGTTTTTTAGTATTTCTCGATCAATTAATTCCAGGTAAAATCTCAGATAATTATATTTAATACGTTTATATTTTTATTTAAATATCACGAGAGATCCTTGTTTAGTATTTTTAAAGTCCATATCTTTCAAACGAATGGCAAATTAAAACATCATGATGACTTTTTAATTACATAAACTATTATGTATAAGTATAAATTGTTGTTATTAACAATCTTTTTTGCTGTAATTATACCCCGTAGGTAATTATCTCTAGTTCAGTAGTTTTAAAATAACAGATTTTTTACAAAATTAACAGGTTTCATTAACTTAAATACATACAAACAAAAACAAACATTGTGTATAGAGTGATAGTGCAATATTCTTTACACTCAAAATATGGCATATTATCGGGACAGGTAGTTAGTGCATTTCAACTGATTTTTAAAATTCCGTTAGCAGTGCTCAGTACGGCAGACGTCAGAACTACTCGACTAACTTTATTTCACGCCGTCCTGGTTACAGTTCGCACGTTCGCAATGAAATAACACTAGTGGCTATGTCATAATATTTAAGTATTTTTGTTTTAACTAGTGCAGTTATGGAAACAATAAAATTCTTAGATACGAAGTTTGTGTGATGAAACGTTGCTTCGGGTTGTAAAAATTAGGGCAAAATCCTAGATCATATATACTTACGTAGATAAGTAAATCACTATGGAAACTGTCGCAAACATATCAACGACTTCTATTTATCTTCTTTTTTTTTGTTGCTTACGCGGTGCTTCTACTCTATCTATCCTTGTCGAGGACCTATCGTCCACGCGCCACATTTGAACATTAATTTTAAAATTTCAATTTGTAAAATGCATATATTTGAACAATAAATTGAATGTTTACTGCCACAAGAATTAAGTTATATAAAAATTACATTTAGCCACTCCATACGAATATCAATATTCTTAGAAAATCTTCGGGGACCTTTATATTAGAACTTCCACACACCAAACACGTTCTAGTCATTTTTACGAGTATTTAGAAAGTCCAACAAAAAAAATAGAAATATAATTGCACAAACATAAAATTAACTTCTCTCTGAACACACTTGACATCCTTGGCTATATAAAAGCGGTCGATAAAAGAGTAATTAATACAATTTTTAAAATAAAAAACGCCAAAAACACGCGTCGTTTGCACGCGTCGTTACACAATGGAAATAAGATTATGACCCATCCCATAGATTATGACCAAAGATTATGACCAAATTATGACATATGATTATGACAATGAAAAGTTGGTTTCCATAACAATGTATAATTTGTACTTTCTAAACCGATGCTAAACCGTATAAAATCGTGATTAATTTGTAAATACGTGCAACTTTTAATGCGCATAACGCAAAGTAAGGTCCTCGGAAAAGACAAACCTATTGAACATTTGATAAGTGTAATAAAGAAGGTTTGAAAATGGCATGTCGTGATGTTGGAGACATATTTTTTAATGCTAAACTTACGGCGTTGATTTATCCACGTGTATGATCTAGGGGAAAAATAGCCCAAACTAGGCGACGCGTTATGTCGTACAGTGCTTCGTCCCATGGACAAAAATCGAAAAAAAAGTTAAAATTTACTAATATCTGAATATGTAATTTTATACTTATAACAATGTTCAACCATCCTGTATATTATTTTTCATAAACAGCGTTTTTTGTTAGCACATATTTTCACTAAAAATAAATTTTGCGATCATTATCTTATCAGTGAAAAGAATATCATTCATAGTAGTTCTGTATATTATGGAGTTAAACGGTACGTACTTAATTGAAAGCCACTATGGATATTGTTAAACAAGGTAAGGTAAAGTCACCTATAATGGACATAGCTCCTATAGTGGACACTCATTTTTCATTTTCTTAAAACAAGTCAGTCATAGGTTTCCATGAAAAAATAAACAGTTTGGCACCACTGTCTAACATCGTTATTAACAGGGTACATTTCCCGCGCCTTTAGACATAACCTCATTTGAACAAAGACACTTTATGTTGATGACGCACCTTTTTGACTCTTTTTACAAGCGGTTGTTAGCAAAAAATTAACCAGTAAGTCAGACCAAAAACAGTTTGGCACCACTGTCTAACATCGTTATTAACAGGGTACATTTCCCGCGCCTTTAGACATAACCTCATTTGAACAAAGACACTTTATGTTGATGACGCACCTTTTTGACTCTTTTTACAAGCGGTTGTTAGCAAAAAATTAACCAGTAAGTCCTAACTTTTTCTTTTTTTTATATCTTGATTTTAATAATAATCAAAAGATGACATATTACCCTCAAAGAATATTATTCAT